ATTATAATATATTATTTTTTTAAATAGTTACAATTTTAGAAGTAAGAAATTCTAAACACAACTTTTGAATTGAGGTGCATCATTGCACCAAGAAGGCCAGATGCTATAATTATATTATTTTTGTTTTACGTATTTCATTACACTTAAATAATGGTAGAATATCTAAAGAGAGTTTTATATCCAAACTAAAGATCTTATCAGGGTACATGAGTTCATACTTCACATTAGGACTTAGGAGTCTGTACCTTAGATTTTTTTTTTTTTGAGAAAATAATATTTTTTTAGTAGTAAGTTTGCTGGGAAAAAAAGTAGCAATGTTGATTAAGACAACAATTGGGTAATAAAATTTAAATCAAGACGACAAGTTTCCTCTTCCTTTTTATTTTAACTTTTCTTTTCTAATATCTATATAACATGAATATATAGGGGAGCTAGTGCTTCCCTCCCTTTTATTTATTTATATTTTTCACTTTTGACCAAGAACAGTGTTCCTACTCATCAGTGGCTGGCTAAATACATCACAACAATAAATTAATTGTCTAACGGATAAGGATCCCTCATTAGACAATTTATTTTGTAGTATTTGTATGTTGCAAACAGTGGTTCTGATGCTAACAGGTAGAATACATTTTATTGCAATTTGCAATCCCACTAATGGTTTGCATTGTGGTAACACTTTCATTAAAGTGATTTTGAATCTTCATCTTGGGGAATCATTTCTTAAACGCTTTTACATAGAATCCAAGAAACTTGGTTAATTATCAAGGTCTAGTGTGCCCAATGGTTCCTCAGTTTAGTGATTGGAAATGTTGCTTTGTATAATAGGACAAGCAATAACTACCATTCCGTCCATTACACCAATTAAAACAAAAGTTTGGACTTACAAGTATATCTAATTCAAAGGAAACGAAACAGAGGGGATGAATGATTTTTTCCATCAGTCAAATTTTAATATTAGTTAGTATTAAAATTTAATTATTTAAAAAAATTTATTTTTCTTAGACCAAATACAGTTAAAAGTATTAAAAGTATACAGACATCCAAAGTATGCCA